CGCAATCAGTTTGGGGTACCCTCACAGGGTCCACAGAAGACATCTTGTAAGACACATGTTCGTCATGCGCTCGAACGCATCCCACGACCTCCGACCGATCACCCACCCTCCTCTAAGCATCTTCAGATCCTCACATGGAATACGGGAGGACTCGGTGGGGGGCTGTACGATGAGATTTTAATTCACATACACAACAATCCGATCGACATCCTCATGTTGCAAGAGACTAAATGGAGGTTTAGCAGTAGCTGGGATACGCATAAATATATTTTTGTGCACAGCGGTTCTGTGGCCAAAGACTTTAAGCAAGGGGGTCTCTTGACGATCGTCGCCAAAAGGCTGCTAGACCCTGGTTCTCTCCGATATGTAGAAACCATCCCGGGCAGGTTGCTTCGAGTCCAGTTTCATCACCGGTCGCAGCCATGCGACATTATCAATTTTTACCAACACACTTGGCGTGCCACCGATCACATCAAGAAGCTCCGACATCAGGCCTTTGACCAACTCACGCGTGTCATTCAGACCATCCCTAAACGAAGTCTCATGGTAGTGGGAGGAGATTTTAACACTTCGTGCTCTAGGTCTGCACCTCATGTCGGTGAGCACCTCCTGGAGCCGCCGCCCCATTGGGCCACGGATCACGAGGACCTCCAGGCACTGGTAGCCGGCCTTGACCTCTGTGTCTTAAACACTTTCCAGTCTCGGCACCCTCCACATACCTACGCGTGGGGCACACAACGCTCGCACATTGACTTTCTCATTCTTCGGCGGGACCATGCTGACAGCCTCTCTCGATCGTCACACGCACTGCGTGACTACCCCTTGGGTGCGTGGCGCGGCGGTGCGCGACACTTTCCGGTCTATGGCCAGGTGCCCACCCAGTGGCGCCCCTGGCAAGGGGCCGCTCGAGCTCCCAGTAGCCCCACCATTGACCGTCATGCGATAGCGGATGCTCTCGCAGGCCAAGCCGATGCACGCCTCCAGGCCTTTCGCCGGGACCTTCATTCACGTCTGCCTGCGCATATCGCGGATGTTGACCAATTGCATGACTTGGTGTACTCCCTAGCTGTGCGGCACTTCCCCAAAAAGGCAGTGGTGCGCGGGCCGAGACCGTGGCAGGATGGTACGCTTCAGCAGTATGCCGCCCGCATGTGGGGTCATCTCCGTGGTCTGCGAAGGTGGGCACAACGCCCGGCTGCGGCGCGTTGCGCCCAGGCTCTGTTCCGTTGCTGGCGTCACAGTGTTCACTTTCTGAAGATGCATCGCCTTGCTAAGCAACAGGGTCGGGATCTTCGCAAGGCCAGGAAGCACTCCATCCTGGAGGAGGCGGATGCTGCCATACGCCAAGGCCAGAGTCGTCTTTTCTATCAGTTAATTGACAAGCTGGCACCAAAGAGTCGTTTTCGTAAGTTTCAGATGTCTCAGGGGGGACGCGTTCTTACGCCAGCGGAAGAACTTGCGGTGATGCGCAAGCACTTCATGCAGATATTTAACCACGATTCACTGCCACCTGACCACACACCGGCTATTCCTGTGCATGGCACCATGCATGTCTCTCAGGAGGAGCTTCGGGTCTTTCTTGACAAGCTTCCTGCTCGGAAGGCCGGGGCCCCGAACACCGTTCCGGGCGCTGTCTGGCGTGCGTGCTCGGACCTCATCGCAACTCCGCTGGCTGCGGTGCTCAATCATCGATGGCAGTCCACCCCCCTTACGCCACCTGAAACGTGGACTGTGGCCACCCTGTCATTGCTTCTTAAGCCTCATAAGACTGGCTCCTCCCCCAAGGACTTTCGCCCCATAGGGTTGTTGGATGCCCTTGGTAAGGCCTCTATATCTATGTTGCTCTCCAAAATCCGACATGACCTCGAGGGATACATTCGCACATCCCCCCAGTATGCCTATGTCACTGGTCGCTCCACCTCTGATGCGCTTCGGAGGGTGTTCCTACATAATTCCCAGGTTCGAGCAATGAGAACGCCCAATGCCAGAGATCCTCACTACAAACGAGCCGGGGGAAAGCAACCTTCCCTACAGGGGGGACTACAAGTATGCTTAGACCTTACCTCGGCATTCGACTTCGTCCCGAGGCACTTCATCGCCGAGGCCCTCTCAGAGGCGGGAATCACAGGGGCGCCAGCTGCGCTGCTCATGAATTGGCTTCATGGATGTTCTTATGATCTTTACATTGAAGATCTCCACACACATCTCCCCACCACCCGGGGCGTTAAACAGGGGTGCCCGGCGAGCCCGTTGCTCTTCGCAGCCTTCATGACTCTAGTCACGCGCCGCCTGAGCGCCAAACTATCCGATGCATGGGTTGCACAGTACCTTACCATGTTCGCTGATGATTTCCATATCGGCAAGACTTTCCATGGGTATCACGAGCTCGAGACCTTGAGCTCTCATATCGGTTACATCATGTCCACCTTGCGTGCCCACGGCATGAGTGTTCATGCCACCAAGGCCCAGGCTATTATGTCCCTTGAAGGCACCCAGCGTAGCACCGCTCTCCAGAAGCTAACCAAGACTTCTGAGGATGGTCGTTTACTTCGGGTAAGCTCTAAATATGGCGACGAATTCCTGCCCCTTGTTCGCCGGGCTGACTATCTAGGGGCGGTCACCACATATGATTCTTGCGCGGCAGCTACCCTACGTAAACGCGTGCTCCTTGCTAAGTCAGCGGTCAGCGCACTCACGCCTACGGTGCGTTCTGCATGCACACCGTCAGCTCACTATCCCACATAGGGTCCGTTTATGGAGGGCTACCGTGTGGCCCTGCTTGGCCTATGGCTTGGAGGTATGTGGTCTCTCGGAAGAGCACCACGCCCAGATTCAAACTCTGGTCATGCGACACCTTCGAGGGATTGCGCGCAGTCCTGCGCACCTCACGCACGAATCAGACGCAGCCCTGGCGACTCGTCTCCAGGTACCACTCCCGCGAGACTCCCTTCGACGTGTCTTTGAGTCCGCCTTTGGAAGGCAAGAACCAGATGATCCACATATGCTGCCGTTTGATCACCCCTGGAACCAGCATCTAGCTGAGTGTCTCGCCCCACCTTCCTCTCAATCGCCTGTGCCTGACACAGGTGCAGCAGCCGCCATGGCCATGCCTCCTGGTACAGAGGCCAATCCTACAGCAGACACGCCTGTGGAGTCTGACGTGCCTATGCCACCGATGAGCACAACCACCCCACCCGTCACTCTACCCGATCCTGTACTCTTGGCTCCATCTAGTGAAAGGCCTCCTGCCCCTGTGGAGCAGCTGCGTCTCCAGTGTCCGTATTGTCCCAAAGTCTGTGATAACAGAAAATCTCTTAAGCTTCATGTCTCCCGGGTCCATAAAATTAATGTCCCCGCGCATCCCTTTGACAGGTCACTTCACTCAGTGAATGGTATGCCCACGTGCGTTTTCTGCCGACATGCATTTACGCGGTGGGAGGTTCTCGAGAAACATGTTAGCTCCTGGAGCTGCGCTCACATGCCACTACCACCAACACACCAAGCAGCTCCCCCAAACCCCGACCCCTCGAATGTCCAGTCCCAGGTGAACACTGGAGGATCGTCGGATGATCCAGCTCAGGCCTCCGTCCCAGAGCTATCCGAATTGTTGGTCGCGGTTCCCGAGCATACAGCCTCTGACCCCCAACAACCACCGCCTGTGACTCCGGTGAACTCAGCTGGACCTCACCGCACTGACATTTCTGTGCCAGGTTGTGGTCTAACATCCAGTGCTGCTATAACGGCGCCGTCAGGCTCAGACGTTCCGATGGCTACCCGGGTTTCTGACACTTTGTCACAAGGGGGGTTACGAGCGCTGCCTCGGCATAAAATGGCGCCCGACCTTCTGCATATTTGCGGTGAGTGCGGTCAA